TCTCATTCAATGGCGGATACATGATGCTTTAGGGGTGTCCCAGGACACCCTAAATTTTGGGAACACGATTATCCAACCCCTGGTAGTATTTTCGTATGGATAAACAAAATATAACTGGTAATCTGGGACACCCCAAAAATTTTAATAAACGATTATCTTACCCTCGATAGTAGTTTGCATATGATTAAAAAAATATAAGTGGTACTCTGTGTTATTCAAATCTAGGACACTCTTATTATTAAACATCTTCTCCATTAGGTTATAACTCATTTGTTGTTCGATTTTAAATACTATGTAATGGTAAAAACACGATTTCTTATCCTTAGGAGTGCCCCTAATTTGAATTGATTTTATGGTTACACTACAAGTGTTGAAACAGTCTTTTCAACTTTGAATTACATCATGAACAAGGTTAGAAATTGAATATGCGATTTAGTAGGATATACTGATTTGTTGAGCAGTGTAGACACCAAATCTATCTTATGTTTTTTTTTCAAAATATGAAAACACATTGTTGCTTTTTGTCAACATTTGTACTAATTGGATATTTTATTATTTATATATTTTTTAATTATTAATTTAATTTAATTTTTGAAAGAAAACACCCTTAAAAAAAAATTCTGGATCCACCACGGAAGCTGAATCAGTTGCAGGCTATAATGTAGAATATGCGCGGGATGCGATCCTTAATAGTCCACTGCTCTCCCTGGGAGGGAATTTGACGAGTAGCAATTCAAACGTTAGTTTACTTGAGAGCCAAGTCCTTTCAGCTTATTGTTCAAGCCACACATCTACTTGACACAAACAATGTTCCTTTTGTTATTATTGACATTGTTATGTTACATAAAAAATCTCCCGACCAAATGGAGGAAGGAAATCCTTAAAAAAAAAAAAAAACCAGAAGAAAGAAAAGTAAAGCGAGGGAAGAAAACGCGGTGAAGAAAGAAACGGTCTTTCATTATGGGATATTAGTTGTTGTGTGTAATATTTGGTACGAAAGATCCGAATTTATTTGGGGTGCTGGCTTGCTTTTATATATAATAATTATGATAGAAATAATAATAATAATAATAATAATGAAAGGAAGGAAGGGGCAGGCAGGGGACAGCGGGACAGGGACAGTTGTTCATTATTTTTGGTTCCATCACTTTCTGCACTCTGTCTGCCGTTCTTCGTCCTTTTCCCCCCACTTATATTTATTATTATATATATATATATATATATATCACTAATTTATTTTACGATATGATTCACGCTTCTGTTTCCTTTCTTTCTCAAATTAATTGTTTTTAGTTTTCTCTTTAATTATGTTCTTGTTGCTATATATATTTTGTGTTGGAGGAACAAATTAAATTCCTCTTCCATCCTAGAGTAGAGACTAACTAAAGAGCTTGTTTGTTGGTACGACAAAAAGAACAAAGGGGTGCCGGGAAAGATAGCCTCGTAACGTAAGTTGTCGGTGAAGGGTTTTGGCTGGGGTTTACACCAATAATTATACACACTTTCGCAATAATTAATATAATGGGTGTGTAGATAATAATGAGAAATGTTATCTAATTTCATTAATACTAAACACCCATAGTTATTTCATGATATAGTGATCTGTTCGATCTACATGATGTAGAGATATAGGTGCCTACTGCAATGATAATTTTGTTACGATTTTCTCTTCATTCCTAAAAATATTAAAGTTCTTCAAACTTTTTGAAGTGTAGATGGTGGCGACCCGCTCACATTTTCGCGATCCAAAGACATCATTGCTTCGTTCAATCGGTGGGAGCGCTAGCGCTGTGTATGAAGGACTTAGGTGCAATAAATACACAATGATAATTTTGTTTATTTTCCAAATTGAGAATGTATGTATAAGTACCCTTATAAGCAAAAAAATGACAACATTTCAAGTTGAATTGTCTACAACAGTGGCACGATACAACGTTGTCAATAGTCCAGTCTTCTAACACAAAAAACAAATATTGTAAGTTTGAACGAGTGTAGTTGAAAGCGGCCTGGTAGAATATGAAGTGAAATAACAAGAAAGTCGAAAGGTTTAATTTACGGGCACATTTACAGACAACGCTAAGCACCTCATACACGAATAACCTTTTAACATGATAAAAAAAAAACTCTTTTAACTATATACATATAAACCTATCTTCAAATTTTTAAACAAACCAAAGCCTCCTACTCTAATTTTGCTAACGTACCAGTCTTTCTGTTAATTAACAATTATCTCAAGTCAAATTGATCTGTAAAAAAACTTAAAACTAAATTATCAATAATCTCTTAACAGAATGACTAGTACTTAGCAAAGCTTTTATCGTTTGTTTGCTTTCCTTCCGTTAAAGGATTCACTTGTTAACTTTCCAAACTATATGTAGTGCTAGTAGGAACTCTAAAAAGTAAAGAGAGAGAGAGAGAGAAAGAGGGGAAGAAGCTTCTTTTTCTGCATTAACAAAACCCAACCAGCTCCCCACCATTGCTTCCCATCCCAGCGACCATTTCCCTCTTCCCTCGCCTCCTTTCCTTTCCCTCTGCTTACTGCTAAGGCTAACCCATTTTCCATCCCTCTTTTTCCTCCCTTCCCCTTTTCTGGGTTTCCAAAAAGCTCCATCCCCTTTTCCAGTTTCCCCTTCCATTTCTCGATTCCAAGGGTTTTGAATGTCTTCTGCGCCACCGCTACCGGAACATGATTACATAGGCGGCTTATCGTCCCCTCCTCCCCCGCCGCCGCTGATGGAACCAGCTCCTGCAAAACTCGCCGCCTCTCCTTCTTCCTCCTCCTCCTCCTCCGAAGGAGACGACGACAGAAGAAGCAACAGCATCAAGGAAACCGAGCTGAGACTGGGCTTGCCGGGCTCGCAGTCCCCAGAGAGAAAGCATCAATTCCAATCTCCTTCTTCAGGGCTGTCTCTGTTTGGCAAAGATATTAAAGATGCGACGAATCTGGTGTCAGGGGCGAAGAGAGGGTTTTCAGACGCCATGAACGGGTCTTCTGAGAGATGGGGTTTCTCTGTATGCGAGAAGAAGTCTGAGGCGGTTGATTTGGGCAAGAGAAGTGGGCCTGCCTTGAATTCGTGTGTTTCAGGAAGCATGAGGAAGAAGGATGGCTGTGTTGGTGGTCAAGAGAAGGGAGAATATCAAGCCTCTGGAATGAATGGCCACAGTAGTAGCGCTCCTGCTTCTAAGTAAGTTTTTTTTTTCTTTCCACTTTACCTTTTTCTATCTTGGAATTAGGGTTGTTTTTGGAAGGGAACAATGAGCAAAATCAAGCTGTTAGTCTTTAGGTTACACTGAGTGGGTAAGTATTGATGTTGATGCCATCATTTGTGATGGTAGCTAGTCTTTAACTCTTAAGCTGAACCTTATTGCTTAGCTTGGTTCAACTTGAACCTGATCAATTCAAGAGGCCTCTCTCTATATAGATGTTCTGAATTCTAAGTTCAGTCTTTTTTTCTCATGGGTGTGTATTCGTTTATGGTGAAAACACCTCTCTTGTATGTTTATGAGTTGATTACTTGATGTTAATCACCATGGTATGGTGGTTTCTTGGTGAATTTGATAGGACACAGGTGGTAGGATGGCCACCCATATCTTCATCACGAAAGAACACCATGGCATCTAACTCGGCAAAGAACAATGAAGAAGGTGAAGGGGGGAAGTTAGGATTTGGTTGCCTCTATGTGAAGGTCAGCTTGGATGGTGCTCCTTATTTGAGGAAAGTTGATCTCAAAACCTATACCAACTACAAGGGCCTCTCTTCTGGTCTTGAGAAGATGTTCTGCAGCTTCACCTTTGGTACGCTATTGTTCACCTTTAGAGTTAACTGCTTTTCAATTGAATTACCTCTCTTAGAAAATACATTACCACTCAAGTTCTGAAGATCCTTTCTTCTCTGTGGACTAACTTGGTTTCAGGAAAGTCTACCTCGAATGAGAGTCCAGGACAAGATGGCTTAATGAGCGAAGGCCAATCAAGGGATCTTGTCAATGGGTCTGAGTACGTTCTCACGTATGAAGATAAGGATGGTGATTGGATGCTTGTTGGTGATGTCCCATGGGAGTAAGTTGAATTTGTATATGTTCGCATTTCGATCCATGGCTCAGCAAAATGAAACCAGTTTATGTCCTGATATTTGTTCACCATTTTGTGGTCACAGAATGTTTACAGAAACCTGCAGGAGACTCCGAATCATGAAAGGTTCAGACGCTATAGGACTCGGTATGGCCTTAAATCCCCATTCTTGATTTGCCTAATGCCTACTTTGCCACACTAACTCCTTCTGGAAGCAACGGAGTGAGACAATAATCAAGCACTGATGAATTTGTACCATTGTTTTCTGCAGTTGATGCAGTTGCAGCTCCAAGAGAGACGGAGAAATGCATGTAAATTGGACAGAAATGCAAAAGGATGTGAAGCACAGATTTTTCATCGAAGAAAATTTTACGCCAGACCTGGAACTGTTTGTAGTCGTGAAGTGCTTTCTTTTTCGCTTTCTCGGAGTTATGTTTTTGGAAATATGAATGAAGTATTAGTGTGTGTAGTAAGTTGTAATGTCATCCTACTCTTAGGATTTTACCTTTTGACAGTGGTAACATGAGAAGGGTTTTCTGGTGAATGTTTGTCCTTTCAATAGTAATCTGAGTGGAGTGTCTTATGTCATTCTCTTGATTGATTCGTAATCCGATTAACCCTTGAGCTTATTGATTTATAAGCCGAACTGAGTTGCTACTTCATCAACAATGCAACTTGGTCCATTCGTGATCCAATATGCTCCTGAACAATTGATGTGTGTCCGATTCTGGTAACTATAAGTTGAATACAATCATAGTGGCCTGATTGACAAGTGATTCAATTAACCCACTAGTTGATCGACCTATAACTGAATTAACTTGGACCCCAAGTAATGTCTGCATCTGAAACAACTCATTCGTTTGAAACTAATCAACCCAAATAACCAATGATCAGGCTAACCCACAAATTGATCAATCTACAACCTGATTGGCTCGAAACCCTATTTATCTACTCCAATGCTGACTTTGCTCACCCATGTAATCAGTTCACTTTAAGTGCTAATTATGAATAGGCATCGGTTCCCAACCGGCTTTTAAGTGCCTTCATAAATCAAGCTGAAGCAAAACAGAAGTCAAATTGGAACCCAAGGAATACCAGTGGAGTGGTTCGGACTTCAGAACTTTGAACCGATAGGAGAAACAAAAAAGGGGGAGCAAACCAAAACCACTTATGTACTATCATCTTCAGTCAGACCACCAGCTAATATGAAAAAAAAAGGAACATTAGTATGGACAACTTTCAAGTCTTTCAACTATTGCAAGAAATCAACCCAAAAGTAACCATCCAGGGAAAAGAAAGTGCTCTAAGGTTGTTCCGAGATTTGAAGGTACGCCATCTGGGTGTAACCGTTAAATACAGAATTGTCGAGTTTACTCAACCCCAGCCGCTGAAACAATCCGTATCGCCCATCTTCAACAATGGGATTGGTAACACGAGCTGGATCATAGCGAGTTTGATGCGTGAGAGAAGGACCGGCTACTGGTGGGAGTTCCCAGTACACGTCGAGTATCGCCTCAATAAACCGGCTGTTCTGGAAGTGTTCCTCGTAGGAAATCGGTTTATTGCTGTGATTGAAGTTATCTCGCATCCATCCTCTAACGCCCCACCATGCTTCGTTCTGTCCGCAAAGCTCATCCATATCTACTGCTTTCTCCCAGAATTTCTTCCTCTTGAACCGAATCCTGGCTTCATCACTATCTCTGAAGCAACTGTGGCCACCACCTAGAAACAGATGAAAATAGGTTGCATTATGATAACCCTACGTAAATGATGAACCCTACACAGAACTGAGTTATCAACTAATGTAACTTCCATCAGCATCCCATTGCTTATGCCAAAACCAATGGAAATACATGAACTGACGAAAATGAGAATTGTGGTCAGTTACTGTTAACAGTTTCTTTGAGAAGACAGGCAATGGGGAGCATACTGCTAACAGCTACCGAGGCGCTAATTCAAACCATTCTTCCAACAGATACTAAACTGCAAAGTTCTCCCTACTCTAAGACTACAAAGTCAATCACTACTTGAACTTTATCTTTGTTGATTCAGTTTTCTGATAATACATATAACTTGAACGAAACATCTCCAGTTAGAATGAAGTAAAAGCTGCAGAAAGGTTAGAATTACCATACCTCTTATATAGGACTGATCACATATCTGCCTCAACGAATAATGATCACCAGTTCCAGTATCATAATTGTCCTCAAAAATAAGATTATGAAACCCAGCATTCAGTGCCTGCTTTATCCTGCCCAATAGGAAGGCGATCCAGAAGAATATAAGTGACTTGAAAGTTGAAACACTACAAAAGGAATGAAGACACCAGTGGCCAGATAGTTTTATCCATACCTTTTCAGTTCATTCTGATGGTCGTCAAAAAAGACAAGGACTCGTGCAAGATCAGTAATTCCATGTTTACTCATCACACTCTTCCAATCGACACTTCCGAAATCTACAAAGTCTTTTCCAGCAAAGTAGGTGCAATTTTCATCAACATAAGCAGGACCCTTCTTCAGGTACTTCTCAGGGTGCCTTGGAGAAAGCGAAATGATTCGCGTTTCAGGCATTGCTTGCCGCAGGACCCACGTCGAATGACCCTTGAAAGCACCACTCTCGACCATAAGATCCGGCTTAAGCCACCGTGCCATGAACCAGAGCCCAAAGCTATGATCGAAACCCATTCCATACATGTTGTTTTTGATAGGTCGAGTTTCATAAATTGGTATGAACTCTTCTAGGGCCTTGAGCAAATCCTTGGATGTCCACTCAACTGTTTTACCATGTTTCGATCTGCCTTTTGCCAAAGAGAAACATTTAAAAGGGAGTCGACAATAAGAACTCAGCTTTCCAGATTAAACTATGCAATCAATAGCACAGAAAATGACATCAGTTCTGACCACAACCAACAATCAGGAAAATCAACTAACCAGCAGTAGATTCCATAGCCGATCATTCAGACTATCAAGAGCATATCAAATCCAAATACATCCCAACCTAGCCCGCATCTAGACAATAGCATTAGACCTAACATTCTATCCAAAGAAAGTCGACAACTTTAATTCGGCCCTGGAATGACGTAACTTACTTAAATAGCAGCTCACGTTGATTTGAATTCAATGATCTCTCGATCCCTACTCAATCCACACAGACATTTTCTCAGCAAGCAATCACAACCCCAGATAACAAACAAACAGCTATTGAACTCACCCAGATCTGAATCACAAGACAAAGGGGACGAAACTTACACCAGGGAACACCGAGGGCGCCGAAGTCGGACTCAAGACCGTCGATCCCGAAAAACCCGACCCGGGACTTGGGATCAAAGCGGGAGATGCAGACGAGGGAGCGAGAGTGGTACATGAGGGAGGCGACGAGGGCGAGGACGAAGAGGAGGAGGCCGAAGATGACACAGTGGAAGGAAGAGTGAGACATCCTGGAGATGTAATTGGAGGCCAAGGAAGAGAGATTCGGGGGCTTGGTCTTGGACTCGTCGGCGGAGACGAAGGAGGAAATGCCGTGGCCGCCGTCGGGGGAAGTGGAGGAGGAGGATGGCGGTGGGTCGTCGGGGGAGTGGGGGGCGTAGCGGCGGGAAGAGAGGACCCGCTCCAGCATGGTCTTGGCGGCGGTGGTGAATGAGGAAGAAGATGAAGAGTGGGGAGCTATGGGACTGAGTTGATTATGCTTCAGTTGGTGCATACTTTTGAACTCAAATTGATACACAAAGTTGTTTTCGATTTGGATTTGTTCCGATTTTCAAATTATTTAAAATTTGATTTTCTCGGGAAAGAATCTTTCGAGATAGAGAGAGGGTGTGTTGTAATCTGGAGATTTGTGAGGAAATGGAAATGTTTTTGCTCTGTTTTTTTTTCTTTTCTTCGTTTCCCTGATTTGTTGCTGCTATCAATTTTCCCCATATAAAATGTGTTTGCAAGTAATTGAAAGTAAGTTGGTAGATTTTATTGAGATCTCTAAAATGTTACTATTTAACGATTTTAGATTAGTATATGTTAAATATTATATGAAAAATTATATGCGTGAAAACCTATTTTTGTCCTCTTTCTTTTCCAAATAGGCAAATATTTTTTTTATAAAAGATAATTATATATTGTTATGAAAAAAAAAACCATTATATCATGTGCTCAGTCACGCCATCAAACGAACGACACGCAATCGGGTACTATGAAAGGGCCTTGCGAGCCACCAAGTGGGCTACCTTATTATTACGTCGACCTACGAATCGAACACTAAATCCCACATGCTCAACCAAATAACGCAGAACCTCGTGAAAGTGGCACACGCTCAGCTATCACACTCCTGAGCTCGGTTGAGGCGATCAATAACCACCTTAGCATCCCCTTCGAATCTTACCGCCGAAAAACCCCGCTGGAGACACCACAACATTGCTTCCCGGAGTACGAGGAGCTCAACAAGCATGGGATTGTCCATCACAAGGAACTGAACGCCTGCAGCAAAAATGATCTCCCCACCAGGGTCTAGGAGTATCATTCTCCCCGCATAATGGGATATTGTCTTGTCGCTCCATCCCACTTACAAACGATAGAACCAGGCTTCGCAGACTGGGCAAAAGCGTCCCTTACTCGAGGAGTAATTACACCCCTGTCCTTTGGCATATTATTCCACTCATGTAACTGCTGATAGTATTGCCTCATCAGAGCTGGGATCCCGAACTATTTTCCTTCAAAGACCACCCTGTTGTGAGATTTCCATATCCGCCATAGCACTGCTATAAACGCCATGACCTAATGTGGATCGTGAATGAGAGCCAATAGTTTTTTGAGAAATAGCGGGGAAGTCTGGCGAGGGAGCCATTGTCCAAGATGCTCCAACCCAACATGGTCCCATAGAGCTCTGGCCACAGGGCACTCCAGGAAAAGATGCTCCATAGTTTCCGATTTTGCCCAACAGACCGGCCACCTAGGATGCACCGGGACATCCTTCTCAATAAGGGCTTCTGTGGTTGGGAGGAAACGGTGCAACGGTTGCCATAAAAAGACTTTTAGCTTGGGTGGAATCGAGGAATCCCACAGTTGGATCAAACTTTGTCGATCCATCCAGCTAACCATGGGACTCCACCTACCCTGTTGCTTATCTATCTGCACCACCAAATGGTACGACGATGTTATCGTGAAAACCTCATCATACGTGGCATGCCAGATCTGCTTATCCTCCATGACCAGTCGGGGTAAAGGGATAGCCTTGATAACATGACAAGTATCAGGATGGAACCATTGAGCAAGTTTATCGTTAGACCAGCCGCCCCCCACCACGGCACACCAAATCCAGCACTTTAAGGTCCCCACCTTCAGGAAGCATTTGAGGGTTATAAGACGGGGGTCCTGATGCAAGGCCGGAACCCAACTTTCGTTTAAAGCCGACACCGACTCTCTACTACCAATCTGCCAACGAAGGCCCTTCATCAATAATTGCAGGTCGTACATGATACTTTGCCACCCCCAGGAAGGACAATATCGCGCTGTGGAGGTGAGGTATGTGCCAGTGGGAAAATACTTCCCTTTATACACCTGAGCAAAGAGAGACTGGGGTTCATTAAGTATCCGCCATCCAATCTTGGCTAATAAAGCCTGATTGAAATGCTCAAACATGCAGAACCCCATGCCTCCCTCATGCTTACTCCGACACATTTTACGCCAAGAAATCCATCTTATTCGGGAATGGCCATCCTCCACTCCACACAAAAATCGTGCCACAAACCTAACCAAGATTCGGCAAAGAGTGAGAGGTAGTTTAAAGCAAGACAAAACGTGCAACGCCAAAGCCGAGGCCACTGATTTTATCAAGGTTTCCTTAGCCTCAGAGGACAATGTCCGTTGGGCCCACCCTTGGAGGCGTGCCATCAACCTTTCCTCAACAAAAGGGAACGTTGCTAGTTTAGATTGGGCTATGAGGGTAGGCAACCCCAGATATTTGTCTTGGACTCCCACAGCTCCCACCCCCAAAATTTGGGTCAAGAATTCCTGATCGGGGATTGAAGTATTCTTACTGAAACAGACCGCCGATTTTGCCAGATTGACTCTTTTCCCACTGAGCTTCTCATACTCGTTGAGCACCTCAATCAGATTCTCACATTTTTGCGGAGAGCCTCTAAGAAAACAAATACGAGTCATCTGCGAAAAACAAGTGAGAAATCCTAGGAGCCCGAGGCGCCATTTTCACACCTTCCAGTTTACCCTATGAATTGGCTTTACGGATAAGCGTCGCAAACCCTACAGTGCAGAACACAAACAATAGCGGGGGAAATGGGTCACAGCCTGCGGGTGGGTTTAAAAAACTATATGGTGTGCCATTCATTAGAAATGAGAATGACAAAGATCTGAGACATTCCTGGATCCAGCCTATCCAGATTTGGCTGAACCCTAATTTGGCCAAAACCGTAAAGAGAGAGAGCCATTCGACTCTATCATAGGCCTTTTTTATGTCAACTTTTAGGGCCATGTACCCATCTTCCCGCGATTCTTAATTTCCACATAGTGCATAAGTTCTTGCCCTAGTAGAACATTCTCAACAATTTGTCATTCTGGAATAAAAGCATTATGCCCCTCCGAGATTATCTGCGGGAGAAATTGAGCCAGTCTTTCAGTCATGATTTTGGTGATAATCTTATACACAAACTGGCATAAGCTTATCGGTCGCAACTGGCGAATATTCTTACATTATCCACTTTAGGGATCAAAGTAAGCCAAGTATGATTGAAGCTTCGTAAAATCCGGTTTGTTCGAAAGAAGGTGTAGACAGCTTCAACCACCGACTCACCCACGATGTCCCAAAAAGATTTAAATAATTTCCCTGTAAAACCATCAGAACCGGGCGCCTGCTTTGATCCCATAAAGAAGACCGTTCGACGAACTTCGATGGGCAGGACTTCTACCGCGAGGCATTCATATAATCAGTTACTTTCCGTTGCAGGGGAAGGTCGTCCACCCTATCTTCAATATTCAGAAAATGATTTTCCGAGTAAAAGAGTTTGATAGAAATCAATGGCAAAATCCGCCTTCCCCTTTTCCTCCATGATCCAATCCCCATCATCATTCTGGAGATCATCCACGTAATTATGTTTTCTCTAGGCTCTAGTTATCGTATGGAAATAAGATGTACTCTGATCACCCTTTTCTAACCAATGCACTCTGGACTTCTGCTACCGGTAGATCTCCTCCGCCTCCCATTGTCGTCTAAGCTCACCCTCCAGAATGTGCACCTCATCTCCCAACTGTTTAATGCGTTCAATTTCAGCCTGGAGGGTTTTGATGTTGCGTAAAGAGTTCGTAGTCTTCTCCCTACTCCAATCATACAACAAGTGGTGGAGCTTCTTCAGTATGACCCAGAGTTTGTACATAGGTGAGCCATGGATATCCTCTTGCCAAACATAGTTCACCATAACCCTGACCTCCGGGTTATCCGCCTACCGAGCATCAAACCTGAAGAGGGGTCGATGATAGACCATTGATTGCACATGTTTTTACCCCTATTCTTGAGCCGTTTGAGATGTTGATTCTCATGTTTTAAGCCGATTTCACGCTAGGTTGTTCTTGTTGTGATATTTCAGATCCTAGTACGTGAATGAAGGTTTGGGAATGAGTTCGGGGTCGATTGGAAGAAGATTGGACGTTTGGAGAGAAGCTGAGGAAGCCACACAGGCACGCCTAAAATTCCACACGGCAGTGTGACTTGGCCGTGTGGCACCACTTTGCACGGGCAAATCACACTGGCCGTGTATGGGACCCCTTGTGGCCGTGTGGAAAGTCCAGGGAGCTCACACGGCCAGATTGGAAATCCACACGACCGTGTGCCTCTGGCCGTGCAGCGTGCCTGAAGTCCACTAATCAAAACGCGGTGTTTTGACATCCACACGGGCAGACTGGAAGGCCACACGCCTGTGTGGCCTGGCCGTATGGTCGGGAAATTCTGGGTTTTAACCCAATTTCGAGCCAAAGGAAAGGGGGGAGCTGGGTTTTGGATCCCAAACACCCAAGGGACGAACCAAAGAGAGAGAGAGAGGGCGATTTGAGGGCATTCTAAGAGTGGAATTGGAGGATTCCTTCGCCTTGGAAGCTCGAGGAACAAGCTCGGACTTGAAGACTGATCATCTGAAGATTCTTACTGCAGTCTCTCTCTTCTCATGGAGTAACTTCCCTTCACTTAGGTTTTGAGGAACCCTAGCTATGTTTGTTTGATTGGATGATTGTATGAGTACTTCCCTTCACTTACGCGAGGGTTTCGATAGTATTTCGATTTCGATCTGATAAATATCAATCATTATATATGAATATAGTAATACATATTAAAATTATAAATATTGATTAGTCATGCACCCGACTATGTGTCGCAAAGAGAGGAGTGGGAGGAAAGCAAAACCGGCCAAACACTTTGCATTCATTTAAATCCCTCGGCCATTTTCATATCCCATTCTTTTCTTTATTTGTGGCCGTCCTCTAGAGGATCTGGCGGTCTCGCAATTGGGTTGTCTTTGAGGGTAAACAGTTCAGCATCTCTGCGTTGATGAGTCAGTTTAACCAACAGTATGAGGAATGGTTAGTTTGCCGCATACCGATACTCCTCACGTTAATTTCCCTGCTATACATCAACTGGGTCTAGTGGGGGTTGATAGGATTGTTTGTATGTGGGATGGTGCCACGAAGAGTGGGTCTCATTCGGGAGGGGGATTGTTCTTTTGACCCCGGCGAGGGAGATCCTCATGGCCAAGGGGGTCCAATTCCAGGTAATTGATGACCCTATGGTGGTGGAATTGCTCGTGCTCAGGGAAGCAATTTTATGGTGTCTGGAGATTGGATTTACGGACGTCATATTTGGAGGTGATTCAAAGGTGGTCATTGACAAAATCAATCGGGTTGATATCACAGATACCCAGATGGGGGCTGTTCTTGAAGAAAGCGTGCGTTATTATAGCTTCCAGTCTGGGTTTATTGTTCGATTTGTAGATCGGCGTAGCAATAGGGTAGCCCATTTGGTGGCTAGAAAGACCCTCTCTTTGTACTAGACTATGTGTTGTTTCTTTAATTTTCAGACATGGTTGAACTCCACGGTGGAACTATCTTTTGGTTTTAATCAATATATGATTATCTTTGAAAAAAAAGCACTGCGAGCGGAGAGACACGAGACGCTCGGGAGGAAACCTCGAAGCTTGATTCTAGGGTTTTAGGAGTCCAAAATTCCATAAACGGTATGTAACTCTACTATACAATGTAATTCATTAATTTCTGAGCTTGAGGTTCACATTCGGTTGATGAATTCTTTAGGTTGAGATAGGGTTTTGGAGGATCGAAAAGTCAGATTAAGCCCAAATTTTATATATGAGCTTCCTGCAGCGAGGTAATTAATCCTATGGTTCTAATTCATGAATTTCGGCAATTATTTAGGTCAAAGTCAGAATCGCTGAATTTAGCTCCGGGGATGTGTTTTTATCGAGAATTTGATTCGGAGCCTAGTACTAATATCAACGGGGACACTGCAGGGGATACTAGGACAGTTCCGAAGTTGGATTCTGGGTTCGTTCGAGGAATTGAAATTTTAGTACGAGAATGTAACACCCCGACTTTTGGGTTCTGGTTCGACCATAATACTTGAACGGTTGGATTAACGTTACGTACGAAAAGTTGCAACCGTGAATTAGTAATAATAATAATAACAATAATAATAATAATTATTATTAAATTCTAAACCAATTGGTTCTAGCGACACCCCAAAACCCCTATACCCCTTTTCATTCTTTTACATCTCTCGGCTCTCGCGGCTTTACACTTAAGCAACCGGTGCAAGAGAGAAGGACCTAGAGAGTCGCCGCAAAAGGGAGATAGGGAGAGGCCGGTACATCGATAGAGAGAGGCTCGGATGCGACAACAAAATGGACGAAACTCTAGCCGACAACAACCAAAACCTCCATCTCCATCCCGACGCACGAGCGACGCACACCCAAATCCCTCTCCACCGTGAACGCCACCGCCGGTGTCGGAGATCATAACGAACAAAGAGGATACTAGGAGATTGTCACGGACCATGAGATGCCATCTGGTCGATTTGATAAGCTTGTTGAGGGGGTTTGATTGCAGTGGGAGAGAAGGGTTTCTCGTGTAAGCAAAAGATTCCTTCGCTGGGCATGGAAACTAACAGAAGCCATGAATATGGTAAGTGGCTTATGGAGTTCATGAAATTTACATTATTGTGGTTATAGTATGGAATTGGATCCGCATGGGGAAGCTGTCCCAAACAAGTGACACGTTTTGTGCTTGGTTATGGCAAGGGGATTAGTGAATTACAATGAAGGTTTCATGTAATGGTATTAAAGGGAATCCGCAAAAGCTTTATGACGCCCGACTGTATCAAAATGATAAGGAGAGGGTGACAAGTCAGACTCGGTTGGTTTTATCAGGTGAGTGTAAAGGGGTAAATTCTAAGCCTTACGTGTTCTTTCAAGTTTTACGAGCCTTAAGTATTTTGATGAAGTGATTGTTATTGTTTGATTGTGTTTATGATTGGTGATATGTGCGTGGTTTGAGCTTTGCTTGAAGCAATTATGTATTACTTATTATTTACTTTAAAGCTTTATATTTATGAGTTGTTATTGAGGTTTAAGAAACAAGTTCTTTTTAAGAAGTAACTCACATTCAAGAAGGTGAAGTCGTTTTAAGTGTTTTTAGTCACTAGCGCCAGTCCGTTGCCATTTGAGATTTTCAGTTAGAGCAGCAGTTATGCTTTGAGATCTCTGAGATAGAGCAACGGTTATGCTCTTGAGATTTTTAAGATGAGCAGCAGTTATGCTCTTGAGAATCGTGGAAGAAGAGCCTTCCACGATAAGTTTAAGTTTATGGAAAGCCTGGATGACTTCTCATATGTAATAGTTCGGCAATCGGACTAGCTAGTGAGGGATCCCCGTGTCAGTCAAAATTTTAAGTCAAGATTTGAGCTTTAAGAAGGGAGAGTAAATCTAGCTCCCGCACAGTTAAGAGTTAAGAGTTTTTAAGAGCGGAAGTACAAACAACTTCCACCAATTTAAGTGTTTTAAGTAAATAGCTAAGCAGTAGGAAGTCTAAATCATAAGGGCGTAGACTGACCCCCACTCTCTCACCAGTTTGAAGAGGAAGAGGAGCAACAGCTAGAGAGCAGCGTGATCGAGAGAAACAGTTCGAGGGAAGCCAGCTAGAGGAGAACGATACGAGTGTCTTGGAGGATGTCCAGGCAGAGCTTCCTAGGAGCAACAACAGTAGTTGAGACTAGTTAGTTATTACGTTGTATGATTATGAGTATATATTGGAGATTAGATTGAGATTTTAAAGTTTGAGTTTAATTTGCCCACGTGTTAGGGCGTTGCTTTAAACTAAAAGAGTGTGTTTTCAGTATTTTATTTATGAAATTGTTCCCGCTGCAGTTTAAGCTTTGAGTGTTTTAATTTGAAGGGCATTTTAGTAAAATTAGTGTCCGGCCGGACTAGGATGTTACAGAGAAGCTAAACCGGTGTTTGAACTACCAGAACTGGTGAGGGATTAGCACGACATGTTGGGTTTGTTGTATCATGATAATTATAATGATGCTTAGAGTTGATCTAGGTGAACTAAATGGCATGATTAGGGGTGTATGGACTTTTCTGTTATATGATGAACCCTTGAGTGCTATATGATATTATTTTCTTGCTCTAATCCTTATGGACCTTGTTTATGCTGATGATTGCGTATATGTTGCAATTTGTGAGCTTGACTATTGATATGTCTTATGATGGTTCAAGAAGGTGATTGGGTATGATTTTACATGATTGTTGTATTTGGACTCACAAGTGGGGAAATATATTTCCCATGATGATATTATGATGTTTATGAAGGATAACTTACACGAGGGTTTATCCCGAGGAAGTGCAATTATACGACTCCTGGTTATGTTGAGCCAATTGTGGCCAGGTCAAGAACATGTCTAAGTAATGAATTATGATTAAGCAAGACGAGATATGGATCATGTATATGGATACCAAGTAAGAGTATTTTGGTCTCATGTTTAATTACATAGTTATTGGGGCTCCCCATGATATTACTCTGTTATGATATGTTATGTCACACCCTTGATGTGGTGTTGACCGTTGATTCATCATGAGATATGACCACACCCAGAGTGGTGTTGAGTCTGATATGACCACACCTTGAGTGGTGCCAGGTCCGATATGACTACACCGGCAATGGTGGGTCCGATATGACCGCATCCACGAGATGTTTGGTTCGTTTTCCCGGGAGAGTAATGCATGGGAGTAGCTAGGCGCCTATAAGTAAAACATGATAAGACGCATATGCATAAGTCAAGGTGGTTGAGTCTTTTTCCTATTGGGATGTCAGATGGCTGAGGTTTGATCCTAGTGCTTTGGCTTGCTTACTAGATGTATGGTAGGGGTATACTTTGTTATGTACTCACAATGCAATGATTGTCTCACTCAGCTATGAGCCGACCCTCTTTTATTCTTTTATCTGCTTATGCCATGTGTAAGCAGATCATCAGCAGCAGCAATAGATAAGTAAGAAACCGAATTTAACTGATAATAGGCGTTTTGGAGTGAAATGGAGGAGTTTTTGTGAGAACTCCGAAGTTAAACATGCTTAGTGTGGATTACAACAAGGATGGGTGACCTTATGGGAAGTCACCTCGAGGCCCAAAGAGGACAATATCTTCGTCAGGAAAAAGGTTCGGGATGTTACAATCGGACCGTTGGAGACACACCATAGCAGAATGACGTTGTAGAAAGGATGAACCAGACATTGTTGGAGAGAGAAAGGTGCATGCTCTCTAATGCTGGACCAGAGAGGAGGTTTTGGGCAGAAGTAGTAAACATGCGTGCTAACTCATCAACCATGGAACTCACACAGGTATCAAGTGTAAAAATTTTTATGAGGTGTGGTATGGTAAGGCTGCTGACTACTCTTCATTGAACGTTTTTGGTTGTCCTGTTTACTATCATGTGGACGAGGGTAAACTAAATCCAAGAGCAAAGAAAGGTGTTTTCGTGGGTTATGGAGATGGAGTTAAGGGATTTTGGGTGTGGTCACCTTCTGAGCATTGAGTTATACTTAGCAGAAATGTGATATTTGATGAGAAGTCTATGTTTAACCCCATGTTGAAGGTTACTGTTGTTGGAGATAAAAGGAATGTTGATAAACAGGTGGGGGCTTCAAAGTTCAAACTCTCAAAGAGAGTGAGTTTGAGCACCAAGGTGGAGAAGATCAACATGAGGATGTTTATGATGAGACAGAAACTTCAGAGTCCAGTGCAGGAGCTCAACAGTCTATAGCTTCTGGTAGACCGAAGAGAGAGACTGCGGGAGTACCTCCACAGAGGTATGGCTTTGAGGACATCGTGGCGTATGTTTTTAGGTGGTTGAAGAAGTGGATGCGGGTGAACCACAGTCCTACAGAGAAGTCATTTCGTGTGGCAAAGCCGCTCATTAGCTTGCTGCAATGAGAGACGAAATGAAATCCCATGACAGGAATTAGACTTGGTAATTGGTCAAACGTCCACATGAAAGGAATATTGTTACAAATAAGTGGATCTACAAGAAGAAGGAAGGAATCACTTCTGAAGAGGGCACTAAATTTAAAGCTTGGGGTAATTGCAAGAGGCTTCTCACAGAGGGAAGGAGTTGAATACAATGAAATTTTCTCACCAGTGGTCAGACACACTTTGATCACGGTGTTACTAGCGATAGTGGAACACTATGACTTGGAGCTCGAGCAACTAGACATGAAGACAAGTAGACAACTTTTCTACATGGAGAGATAGAAGAAGAAATTTACATGACTCATCTAGAGGGATTCCAGGTTCCAGGAAAATTAGACTATGTTTGTAAGCTGAAGAAGACCTTGTATGGACTAAAGCAATCTCTAAGGCAGTGGTACAAGAGGTTTGCCAACTATATGATTGAGTTAGCTTATAACAGAAGTCTCAATGATTGTTGTGTATATTACAGCAAGGCAGTAGATAGTTCGACGATATATCTGGTTCTGTATGTGGATGATATGCTCATAGCTGTGAGGTCGAAGTATGATATCTAGAAGTTAAAGGGACTTCTCAGTGCTGAGTTTGAGATGAAGGATTTGGGAGCTGCTAAGAAGATTTTGTTTGGAGATTTACAGGGATAGAGAGAAGAATGAGCTTTTCTTGTCACATAAGAGCTACATCCAGAAGATACTATCTAGGTTTGACATGTCTTCAGCAAAGCCCTTAAATACTCTTAGTGCTTTAAATGTTCATCTATCCTTAGTTTATGCACCGTAGTCAGAGGCTGAGAAGGAGTACATGTCGAGAGTCCCATATGCTAGTGCAATAGGTAGTTTGATGTACACTATGGTATGCACTAGACCTGATCTTGCACATGTTGTTAGTGTTTTCAGCAGGTTCATGATAAAACCTGGGAAGGAACATTGGCAGGCCGTGAAGAGGATCTTTCGGTACCTTAAGGGTACATATGATGTGGGGATTAGCTTCAGAAGTGATACAGAGTGCTTAGTTGCTAGTTAGTTAGATTCTGACTATGCTGGAGATGTTGACACACGGAGATTGATGACTAGTTATGCATTCACTCTTGGGAGTTCTGTTGTGAGCTGGAAGGCAACTTGTAGTCGACATTGAAATTGTCTACTACTGAAGTAGAGTAGATGGTGTTGGCAGAAGCTTCTAAGGAGGGAATATGGTTGAAGGGGATGGTTGGTGATCTGGGTCATTTTTGCCCAAGATAAACAAAGCAGTCTCATCACCACCTAAAGAAAAAGAAAGTATGCGAGTTGCTTGAGGGGGGAGCTTTATGTGTCCATAAAGCCTCAACGGGGGTCTTCTCACCAGCGACAGCGAGCCGTTACATCATGATCATGTAGTGGTGTATTATGACAGTTTGAGTGCAATATGCTTGGCCAAGGATCAAGTTCATCATGAGAGGACTAAGAACATCGACGTAAGGTATCATTTCTTGAGGATAGAGAAGAGGATTAAGGTGAAGAATGTTGGCACCGTGGATAATCCTGCTGACATGTTCACGAAGCCGGTTCCACATGACAAGTTCCAACACTGCTTGAACTTACTGAATATATTGAGTGGGTGAATCTGCCCTAAGGGGTATTAATGGTTGAAGGGAGAGAAGGATAAGAGTACATCAGAGATATCATAGGAAGAGGATTCAAGTCAAGGTGGAGATTTGTTGATGTGGCTTGAATCAAATTATCAACCGCTACGATTGATGTTCGTGTTCTGGGTCGGGTCTATAACTGCTTTTCCTTTACTAGATTGGATTAGGGTTAGACCCTAGAGAAGTACTATAAATACTTCTCATACTCCTCTGTAATCTGTATCTCCTCAAGTATAGCGAAATTGGCTCTCTCCTGCCCGTGGACTAGCTAACACACATTGTGTTAGTGAACCACATAAATCATGTGTCGTGTGTGTTTGTGCTTTCATTTTCCTGCATCGTCTAATCCTCCTATTTCCCAATCTACAGAAAACAGTCATGACAAAAGGGACTGCAGTATAGTGGCTCAAGTAATAAATATCGAGGGTACTCCTATTTGGGAAGTGTATGTTTATGGGAGTGTATGTTATTTTATGAATGATGAAATTTTTATTAGAAACTAACCGATTCAAGAAACAAATAAATACAAAGGCCATAAGCTAAAAGATAGCAGCTCAACCAGGAGTTGAGCAAGCAAAAACTAAGTAATGGAACAAAACCTAACTCGAGAACAAAGAGAATAAGGAAAGCAAGGGTCAAATTAAATGAGGTGTTTCATCCCGGCTGTCACCCACTGGCGTAAGAGTCTATCCGAGATATGACTAAAAGCTCGTAACCATTGCCCAACCATAATAAAATCCTTATAACCTCTTGGTTTTCATGTTTCCCCGGTTCCCGATCATGTTTTTTATCATTGGTTATTGTATGACTGTCTAGGCTCTCCAAACTCCACCTGATTTTAAACGGAAGCTCAGATGTATTATACATCCATATATTAGAAAAAGAGCATGCTGACGTGTTTAATTTCAACTGATTTCTTAGTTCCATTCTGGCCATTGAAGAATCAATAACAAATTTCATTTCTGGTAATGAAGATTGATTAGGAGTGGGCAACGAGACGGAATACTGGTTCCGTTTGAAACGGGTACCCAGTCCTATTTGAAGAGCAATCTTCATCTCATGTTTCAAATTCGTACGAGACGGATAACGGATACCTATACTACCCGTAAATACTCGTCAATTGGTGGAAGAAAGTAGAAACCCGCAGCACCACCTTTGTCCTTTGGCTTCAAAATTCCATCAAAAACTATTTTTCCTATCTCTAGAATCAATGTCTACAGATCAGTACTGCCCATCATGTACCTGTAACTTTACCAAGATAAGGGAAAAAAGAAGTAACCATGACAATCAGTTTAGTTACTTCAATTCTTGGTTTATCTTATTATGTTATTCTTCTGAGGCATATTAATTTGATGAAGGTCAAGTGTTGCCGCCACCAACGAGCAGCAGAATCACTTGCAAAAATTTTGAACTAATGGGTATAACGGGTATTAACGGGTAACTCGCGGGTACTCAAAGTAGTGATACTTGAACCCAAGTCCCATTCTGTACAAAAAATTACGGATATTTAGGTAACCATAACCCAAAAATACGAGACGGGTATACTCAAATACCCGTTTCTCGTTGACCACACTAAAATTGATCACACAGAAAGACAAATGAATATACCCACCAACTTCAAGAAAGGATCATGATGAAGGCCAGAAACCCCATAACTAATTAATTTCCCATTCGCATAGCCCCCTTCCCCATTCTCAGATGAGAGACTGACTTAAATTCTTGCCCAACCAATAATATCATAACATCAAAACCCCATCTCCCAACTCCTCCTATTAATGAACATCACCATTCACACCCTCCACACTTATTCCCTTCCTTCCAGTTCCATATAATCCAATATTTCTACACACCTTCCTCATTCTCCACCCAAAAAATGGCTTCACTATCAGACAACTCCCAAACCTCGCCTCCAAACCCATCCTTCGCCATAAGAGACACCACCGACCACCGCCTCACATTCTTGTTAAGAAGCCTCTCCTCCAAAGACCCTTCCGATTATCACAATAACATTGACGATGATAATGAAGATTTCCCTTACCACCCTTCCCCGCCTCGCCTCAGCGTCCAGCACGACCGAAATTCCCACCACCGCGCTCCTAGTCCTCCTCTCAAACTCCATTCCTCCACCGCCTGCCGCGGGGGAACCGAAACGACGTCGTCTTCGTACAGATGCGTGGCGTCCACGGCGGTGAAGAAGGACGGGCAGGTACTGTCCATGGCGGCCGCCACGAGCGACGTGGAGCTCCTCTACACGGGGACCGACGCGAACGTGATACGCGTGTGGAAGCTTGCTCCGGAGCTGACGGAGTGTGGTCAGCTGAAGACGAGGGCCGGCAGGGTCGTGGCCATCCACGTGGCAGGGGACAGGGTTTACGGTGCGTATGGGGACGGGAAGATTAGGGTTTGGCAGCGGACGTGGAGGGATAGTGGTGGTGGGTTCAAGCATGTGAGGGTCGGGACGATTCCGGCCACCGGTGGGGTCGTCCGAAGCTACATCTCCGCCGCCGGGAAGGATAATAAGACGGTGAGCTAATGCTGAGCTAGCTAAATGTGGTGGTTTTGTTCTAGTATATTGTTCCGTTATTTTTAGGATTAATGTCATTTTCGCTCCCTGAAGTTTTATAGTTTTCTCCCGTAAGTCTCTTGAGTGTTGCTTCTTACTGAGCAAGTCCTTCAACTTTGCAAATTTTTTCTAAAATGACAAAATTTATGGATAGATATGACCTTCCCCTCATCCAGTTAGGGCATTATTTGGTGCGGTTTGAAGTAATGAATTGGCTTGGTCATGAACTCTACCACTTTTTATCGTTGTTTGTCTCATCATTTTTTTTTCCAAACAGTTCAAGTTTTATGATCGATACGTCAACTTGATAATATTTTCTCGTATTTTGTACAAAAAGCTCACTTCTCATTCCTAGAAAGTTAATTTTTCCATTTAGGTGACTGAAATGTCCTCCCCCTCCACCCCAAACAAGTGAATAACAACCTCCGACAATCAAATTTGTGGAAGTTAATGACAAATGATCTATTCAGCAAAAGTCACGATCGAAGAGTCTAGGGGCTCACTTGAGCAATATAGTAAAGTATAGGGACCAACCATGAAAATTGAACCTCTTTTCGTTTTTGTGTTTACACTTTACATGCATTTACTATGGACGTGGTACGTTGGTTTGTGGGGAAGGCCCAATATTTATGGGCTTGTTGTTGGTCCTAATATTGCATTATTATCTGTTCACGTGGTCACATCCCACTTGCTCCACCAAAGGACCTTCATTCATTTCCTGGACCGCCCCTCTGTCCATATGGCTTAGCACTTTCTCACTGTAGCCATATCAAAATCTCTGGAGAAATTTTACAATGCTATATAGTATGGGCGCTATAGGTTTTTGTCTTTATGGTACAATTTGAAATTGTAATTTTAACGTTATGGTACAACTTCAGATTGTACCTATACATTTTCTGCAAATTATTTTATGATATATCTTGAATTTGTACATTTATTTGATGGTACAATTTCAAGTTGTAAAGTTGTACCATAACATAATTATATAAATTTCTTTATAGTACAACCTAAACTTATATATTTAATATTATGGTACAACTTTAAGTTGTACATTAAAACACCGATGCTATATAACATAGTGCTCCAAAATCGAGTACCTAATAATTGCTGCCCTATACCTATAAGATCTGAACTTTCGTACATTTTTAGGTAAGTGTTTAAAAAAAAGCGTCACTTTTTGGTAGTATTAAAATAAAAATAAAAATGACTATGATAATGAATTTTGCAGAGCAGGCACAAGGGTCCCATCACCTCTCTAGCCATCAACATCGCCGACGACATCCTCTACTCGTCCTCCTTAGACAAGACGGTCAAAGTGTGGCGAATCTCCGACCTCAAGTGCGTCGAGACGATCCCGGCCCACTCCTCCTCCATCAACTCCATCCTCGTCTCCGGCGCCGACGCCCTCCTCTTCACTGCTTCCGACGACGCCACAATTAGGGTCTGGCGTCGTAACTTCTGCGGCAGCACGGGGGGTCGCCCGCACGCGCTGGTCGTTACCTTGCCGGCCAAGCAATCGCCGGTCAAAGCCCTAGCGTTGACCCCGGACGGCTCCGTTCTCTACGGAGGGTGTTCGGACGGGTACGTCCACTTCTGGACGAAGGGGTGGCAGCTGCAGTACGGCGGGGCGCTGCAGGGACACACCCACGCGGTCATGGTGCTGGCGGCGGCGCGTGATGGTGGGTACGTGGTGAGTGGGTCGGCTGACCGGACGTGTAGGGTTTGGAGGAGGGACGTGGTGGACGGTGGCGGTGTTGGGTCGCGACACGTGTGCTTGGCGGTTCTGGTTGGTCATCATGGGCCGGTTAGGAGCCTCGTGGTGTTGGCCGCCACGCGCTCAATGTGGCGCGTTGGTGGCGGCGGTGATCGGGAGGTGGTGAATGATGGAGGTGGTGGTGATGATAGAGGTTGTGTTGTTTGTAGTGGTAGTTTGGATGGAGTGTTGAAAGTGTGGAGCGTGACCCGAGATTCCGGCGACGGAAAGGGGATATTACACGGCGGCGGTGGCGGTGGGTGGCTGCCCGGGAATGGGCGTGAGTACTTTGAGCTTCAGAAATGAGGTTGATTGGGCGATGGTTTATTAGGTTAATGAATGCGATCAGATTGGTGTTATTAGCATTTTGTAGCAGTGTTGTAGATTTGATTCAGTTAGGCTTCAGTTTAGGTAAGTAGTTTAAGCTATCTCAAGATGTGGTACCACTCTCATTTTTTTATTCAATTCACCAATCCAATTGAATGGTACATTTATGGATTGTTGAAAAATTATAATTTAGTACCTATAATTTTATACTTAACATTTTGATACCTAAATTTTATTTTAATATAAAATATCATTCAAGAATGATGTTTTGGTACCTAAAAAATTTATTATCATAATAATTCAGAACTCACATTATTCTAAATAAAATTTACATATTGACCCAGTATTTAGATGTAATTTTTATCCATAAATCTAATCTAACAATTCATTTCGTCCACAAATCCATTTATCCCAAATTCATAAACCCACCAATCTAATGTAAATACCAATCCATAAATTCAATTCGTTGTCAGCGGTTAATAAGAGTTTTAGTGGTATATACTTAGAACGAATTGTCTCTACGGATATCGTTTATCATTTTTACATTATGCGCAGTAGCTAGCTATGTAAAATTTAGGGCTAATACCACTAGGAAACCCAAACTATTAAGAATGTGTCATTTGTGTCCTAAAGTATTCAATATAACATTTGTACACTAAACTATTTGTCCGTTAGAGTTGACCTTTAGTATTTAATAGAAAATCAGGACAAAAGCCGCCGCCAGCCACCGCCGCTGTTGATCAGCCCAGAGTGGGAACGGCTACGGTGCTAATTGTACAATAGTTAGCACCGTCCTAACCAAGAAAAAAATTACTACTAGTTTGAATTAGTAGTGATTTAGCTTAGATGTTGTATTGATTTTATAATAATCCGTAGTGATTTCGTTATTTTTAGTAGCGTTTTTTGCTAATTATCACGGTGCTAACCCCTATAAGAGTTAGCACCTAATCCCATCCCGCCCAGAGTCGCACATCTCGTCTGAATTCTATACTTTCAACGCGGACTCCCACTCGCTCGTGATTCTCTGCATCCTGGAGCACCGCCTTGCTACCCCCGACGAGATCCGCGCCGCCACTCCCCAGCTCCGTCCGATTCCCCTCTACGATTTGTTGAAGCTGCACCATTTGTTGCGAATCTGGGATTTGGAACTTTCCCGATCGAGGAAAAATGAAAAGGATTTGAAGGAGAGCGGAATTGGGAGTGCTCGGTGGCGAGGGAGCCGGATGGAGATTTAGAAAGAATTTCATAGATGATACATATATTCGTATATCAACAAACAAATTAAATTAAATGGTGCATGCACGTACGTACATTGGGAGAGAATCTAGCTAGCTAAGGTGTTGAATTCATAAACTGTAGTACAGGTGTTAGTTAATCACGGCTCTCAGATCAATATAGCGGGGATGGAGCCTGCAGGCTGCAGCACGACGGTCCTGGGACGCCTTGAGCAAGCGGTAAATGGAGCATGGTTCAGGAAATCGTACCGGACATCATACCGGATTCGTTTCTGGTAAGGTATTTTGTGGTAGGACCGTGATTCAACCGTTTCATACCGTTAAATACCATTTTAGTAATAATAAAATATTTTTTTTGTGAAAAAATCATATCGGCCAAAACATTTCGTTCCGGAAAATACCGGAATAAAACCGAAATATACCGGATGGCGAATAGAAAATCATAAAATATCAATATAATTTTTCTAAAATAAATTATTCCACTATTCAAAATCACCACAAATCCCTCCTATCCCATACCATATTGGGATCAATTTCCCATAATGTTATCTCCCTCTCTCTCCTCCTTTCTTCTCGATTCTCCTTCTCCCTAAACGCCCTCAATAATCACCACCATCAATCAATTTCCCATACCCATTCTCTCTCCCTCCTTCTCCCTGTACCCTCTCACTATCAAAATCTACCTCCCTTCTCTCTCCTCCTTTCTTCTACCTGTACGCCCTCACCACCATCAATCCATTTGACAATTTCCCATACCCATTCTCTCTCCCTCCTCCCTGTACCTTCTCACTATCAAAATCGATTCCACCTCCTCTGCCTTTCAAACAAATGCAACACCAAATCAACAAGAGTAGAGGCTCAAGAGGGATTGTGCGAGAAGGGACCGCCAGAGGCTAGAGAGGAAGGGGATAGCTCGAGCCTCAGATCCTTGCCTCCTTGGTCGATCTCACAGATCTTGTCGAAGGATCTGGTGGATCTCACAGATCTGGTCGATCTCGAGTAGGGGATGAGACTGGGCAGGGGAAGGAGACTTGAGCAGGGTACGAAACTCGGCCCGGCGGCATTCTTGAGCGAGCTCGTCGCCTCGTCCTCTTCGCTGGTCGTTAGAGGCACGGGTCAGCTGGCAAAGTGAAGAGGAGCGGCGGGGCGTGAAATTGGAGAATAAAAGAAACCAAGAAAGCCTTCGAGAATTCAATCAGGGATTAGGGTTTGGTAGTGGGTTTTTCATTTTTTTTCCTTCATTTTTGCTGCATAAGACAGCAGCGTTTAATTGTAAAATGCCTACCGCCGGTCCGAACAAAATCGGGCGGTATTTCGTTTTGGGTCGGTTAAACCGAAAAAATCGACCGATACGATAATTCTGTCACTAAATTCATGTCGTCTCGTTTTTTGTTCGATTCCCGGTTGAACCGGTTGAATCGGCCGGTACGATCCGGTTTCCTGGTCGATGAAATGGAGTAGCAGAGAATGCGAAAACAAATGAGAATTGCCACCATCACCAAACCAAAGCCGTCACAACCACATCTTTGGCTACTGAAGAAGCAGATGATCTGTTGCCGCAGCTGCCAACTTGGAAAATTCGGAGACACACCATTTTTTTTTTTGTATATTTTATTATTGATGCTATCTCTGTATTCTTGCATGTATGTGTGTATTTTATGGGGGCTAGCTTTTAGGTTGAGGGAGGAGGGGATCTGCATTGCAGGCTGAATGAATATTCTTGTCTTCGCATTGGATATTTGTCTTTGATTCAATAGTTTGCTTCTTTTCCAAGTTAGGTATTTAGAATACTTTTTCAGAGTGCTGAGTTTGTTGTCAACTTGAAGAAAACATATATAAGATGGACCTACCCTTTTGTCTTTGAATCTTTCAGCTTCGTAATTAAGGGGAACTTTCATTTTCATTGCTGTCAGAATTCTTTTCCAACGTTCTTCTTCTTCCTAATTTTCATATCCTCGTCTCCGGCGCCGACGCCCTCCTCTTCACTGCTTCGGACGATGCTACAATTAGGGTCTGGCGTCGTAACTTCTGCGGCAGCACGGGGGGTCGCCCGCACGCGCTGGTCGTTACCTTGCCGGCCAAGCAATCGCCAGTCTAGATATATAGCTTAAGCTAATCTAAGTAGATATATAGCTTAAGCTATCTTTAGACGTGGTACAACTCCGAAAACTAGGTAGCAATTTTGTATCCAATTCACTAATTCAATCAAATCGACTTATTTAAAAAAAATTGAATTGTTAGATTTGTAGATTGTTGGTAAATTATATTTTAGTGCTTGTACTTTATATATTTTACATTTGACACTTAATTTTTTTTTTTAACTTAAAAAAATCATTATAAATCACATTTTGGTATCTAATTTTTTTTATTTATTTTAATCATGACATTTTAGTACCTAAATTTTTCAATATTTATAACCCATATTTTATCCAATATTTAGATACCACTTGACTTCATGAATCCAATCCACATTTGATCTAATATAACCCATGAATCCACCAATCCATTTGTTCTAATTCATGAATATTCCACCAACCCAATATACCAATTCATGAATCCAATTCATTGGCGTAGTGAGTGGGTTTTGATAATAGTTAGAACGTATACGGATCTAGCTCTTTATTATCTTCACATTCGAAGCTGTTGGATTTGCTACCTATGTGAAGTTTATTTCAGGTTGGAAAATTTGGAAGAACTTCATAGATATATAATACATTAAGAAGTCTCTACATATATATATTCGTATCAACAAACAAATTAAAGTGCATGCACATTGAGAGAGAATCTAGCTAGCTAGGTAAGATGTTGAATTATTCATGAAGTACCAGTACTGATGTTAGTCAATTAATCACGACGGATCTCAGATCAGCAGCGGGGATGGAGGAGGCTGCAGCAGGACGATCCTGGGACGCCTTGAGCAAGCGGTAAATGGAGTAGCAGAGAATGCGAAAACAAATGAGAATTGCCATCATCACCAGAGCTGTCACAACCACATCTTTGGCTACTGAAGAAGGAGATGATCTGTTGCCGCAGCTGCCAACTTGGAAAATTCGGAGACAAACCATTATTTATATTATTGATGCTAGCTAGCTAGCTAGCTAGCTCTGAAGTCTGAATTCATGCATGTATGTGTATATATACGAGTGCATTTTATTTTATGGGGGCTAGCAAAGCTTGTAGGTTGAGGGAACAAGAGAGGGAGGGAGGGGTTTGCATATTCTTGTCTTCGCAATGGGATATTTGTCTTTGATTCAATAGTTTGCTTGTTTTCCAAGTTAATTCGGTATATCTAGGAATATTTTTAAGAGAGCTGATGATGAGGTTGTTGTCTGCTTCAAGGAAAGGAAACATAAGATGGACCCATGCACCCTTTTGCCTTAGAATTTTGCTAGGCTGGCTAGCTAGCTAGCTAATGGCTGCAGGTTTCATTACTTCATTCATCTTTCCGGTCGCTTTATACCCGACGAAGGAGAGCGGATCTTGTGGCTAAGGAGGGTCCTTAGTCAAGTGACTAAGTCTTTTATAGCCTTTGGATCTAGATATTCTAATCTAATGTCTAAAAAATGGGAAGGGATATGTGATTAATAAAAAGAATAGTTATGGTATTATTAAAAAGTAATTACACTTTTTTTTCCTTTTCCGCTCATGGGCTGTATCGCACGCTCATTCTTTTCTTTTTTTAATAATTCTGCTCTTTTCTTTTCTTTATCACGTGAGTTTTGTCTGTTTCTTTTTGTATAGATTTTTTCTATTACCTTTATTCTATTTAATAATAAAAATCACAAAGTAACATAAAAATTATGATTCTATTTAATAATAAAAATCACAAAGTAACATAAAAAATATGCAATCCTTACAAGAAAAATGTACAAAGTAAAAATATATAATGTATAATGAAAATGCAAAAGTCAGTAATTTAAAAATCAGAATATAAAATTATACAAATCATATCATAAATACGTACAAACTAGTATTATCATGTATACAAAATACAATTGCTTACAATACAAATCGATGTGAATTTCTTTACAAATTAATAATACAAACTATATCATAAAAGTATATAAAGAAATATTAAAAATTATTAGAAGCACATGATATAAGTATACAAATCAAGTTAACATTTTATACAAAGATTACTAAAAACAGAAAACATCACTACTAAATGTTACAAAAGTACACAGACCACATCACAAAAATATACAAATTAAAATTACAAAGTATGCAAACCACATAATAAAGTATACAAATAATACTAACATTGTACACAAAGCATACTAACGATACAAATTACAAGTTTACAACTACTTACAATACAAAGCATACAAATCCAAAGTATACAAACATTACAAACATGATTGACAAAAATGACAAACATGGTGAACAAAAATAACAAAGTTTACAAACATTACAAAAGAAACCAACAAACATTACAAAATAACAAAGCTTACAAACATTACAAAGTAGACAGACAAACAGTACAAACCATACTAACCGTACAAAATACCACTACTTATAATACAAATTGATAAACTGGAATTACAAACCAATAAATACAAAGTATATAAAACAAATAAACAAACATTACAAATTACAATATATACAAATTAGTCATATAAACATTACAAATGTAATAGAGAAAGAGGATAAACAAGAATAATAAACAATACAAACGGAATCGATATAAATATTACAAACCAGACTTATAAACATTACAAAATAGGTGGACAAACATCACAAAAACAACAATGTCGTCTCACATGCCATCTCTGGTCACCGGAAAAGCCTCCTCCGCTGTTAGGGAAATCTCTCTCTCTCTCTCTCTCTCTCTCTCTATATATATATATATATATATATATATATATATTTTTTTATGGGGACGTTTCCCCATTTTTATGGGAATGAAAATGGGGAAACGTCCCCATAAAAATGTACCCCTCTCTCGTGCTGGGAATGGGAATGGGGAAAAATCAATCCCCATAAAAATGGACCGGCTGCTGGGAAAGGAGGACCGTCGGCGCTAGGAGTCGGGGAGATGATCGTCGCCCGTCGAGAAGAATTTCCCAGGAACGCTCGGTGGAAGCGGCACCAGGTAGCTGTGGGCCCGCTTTTATTTTTGTTTAATTTAATTGCTAAATATATAAATTATGTATTTGCTATCATGTCCTTCGTTAAAAGAGATTAATCTGAGCCATTGAATTTTAATGAGGGGGAAAGACTGAGATTCACTTAGTCACATAACTAAGGACCCCCTCTTTAGTCATCTAATCTTAGCCCCAACGAAAGCTTGCACACTTGGGTAAACAATCATGCAATTAATTTTTTTATATATAAAAAAAGGTGACGTCGGCCCTTAAATGAAATGAAAGATAACATGTCATCATCGAATTTTCAGCGAAATCATTCAGGAAAAAAAAACATTATTTTAACAGGGATGGAGTACAAATAGGAAGTACCTAATAAACAATGTGCTTGGCGAATTAAACTAAACCATTAAATTAGCAACACATGACAATTAGTCACATACACTAGGAAGTATTAATAAGAACCACTTAAACCAATGAGAAAGCAAATTATGATGACCATACTTCACAAACTGAAAATAGAAAAAACAGAACACACAAATTTAGCAAGTCAACCCTCAAAACAGCAACCGTTTTTAACTGCCTCAAGTCTTAACCTACTATATATATATAATATAACCTGCCTCCTCTTCTTCCCATCAACCAAACCAATAATTTTTTTTTAACTTCACCCCCCCAAAAAAACTAACTTTTAAAAATGGGAATCCCAAACAAACCATTGTTGTTGTTCCTCCTAATCATCACTATCACCTTCTCTTCTCTTCTCACACTCTCCACCTCCCATTCTTCCCCTTCCCCATCCCCATCCTCCACCGCAGATGACGACGAAGAAACCACCGCATCACCATCATCTTCCACCGGAGAAGAACAAGAGGAAGAAGAGGAAGAAACAGACGCTACTGATTCCTCTCCATCTCAATCTCCTCTGTCGTCGTTGTTTGGATCCCCCAGCCCGTCTCCCGAACCTGCGCTGAGATTCTCCTCCAAGTTTCACCGCCGGATGCAAGAGACCGCGGAGTCCCCGGCGGCGGCCGACCGCTCGTCGAAGCTGGTGGCCCAGCTCTGCGCCGGGACGGAGAACCCGGCCAGGTGCACGGCGTACTTCCACTACTCCAAGTCCGACGACGCGGCGCAGATCATCGACGCGGAGCTCGGCACGCTGAACACGCTGCTCATTGAAGCCAAGTCCGCCGCCGTCAGGGCCCAACATCAGGGCCGGGCCTCCCCTGACGTGGCCCATGGGCTCGACGTGTGCGTGGAGAATTACGACAAGGCCAATGCCAACCTGGACAGGGCGTCCGTCGCGTGCGCCAAGTGCATGGGCCCCAACAAGGCGACGGAGTGCACGGCGAAGGAGGTCGGGGAGGTGAAGACGATGCTGAGCGCCGTCATTAGCAACATCGGGTTCTGCGACGAGGCCTTCGACGGCCAAGGATTGCCCCGGCCGCCGACCAAGGAAATTAACGAGGCCGTGGTTGAGCTGGCTGACTGGTTGTTGGAGTTCTCCAAGAAATTGGATGAATGATCCGTTTTCCATCACCTGGTGGTCTCCCTATTTTTCGTGATGCTTTAATAGATTAGATATACATAATTGAGCATGTTTCGATCTGATTTCATGTATGATGATCGTTATTAAAATATATACATATACGGTTTTTTTTTCATGATATTATTAGTATACGAATACATGTCGGCCATCGGGCAATTTTGTAGACAGGTTGTTTCAATAGATGATATATTCGCATTTCAAGTTAGTTGATTGTCGGATATGTTTTTTTTTTTTTTGTATTTTGGTAAATTTTAATTGTCAATTATTTTATTTTGATTAGATCCATCTTCGAATCGGGATTTAGAAAATCGTAAATAAGAATTTATTCATTAAAAATCATGTCATAATATCATATTCCAAACTCAGTTTAACTCATGATTTGAATAGAAATATCTCACTATTTATATTTTGAATATCGTATATATTGTCTTATTATACCATTGCAACTTGGAAGAAATTCTTGCACGTATATGATTTTCGGGGAGTGGGGAGGGTTAGATTTTTTACACTATTACCGAAGAAGGTGTTAATATTAATCAAAATAATAGAATAAATATATTTTAAATATTATGATAACCGTGATTTTTACAATAAAATTAAACAAACAAATTAATAGTTATGGACTAGTTTGGCCTGCTTTAATTTTTGCAGAAGCAGATTCTGACTGTTGTTTTAAGAAAAGTAATTAAAAAAAGAAATTCAACTTTTATTAGATCGATCTTTGAATTTAAATTTTGAAAATTGGGAGTCAGAGTTTATCCTTTAAAAATGGGGAAATAATATCATGTTAGAAACTCACTTACTCATGGTCTATATAAAGACTAGCCATATTCTGAGTAGGGCTGGCTATTTGGTCTGAATGTTCCAGTTTAACCTGAAATCAGATCGTATAAACCCGAATAATTTGAGACCGAAACCGGATGTAAAACAATTCAATCTCATCTTTGATCTTAAAAATAGTTAAAAACTCGGATCAATCCGATCCGTTTTAAAACCGGATCAAAACCGTATAACCGGATGAACTTGAAATATATGTAATGTGACCAATGTGAAAAAGGAAACATGTCATTTTTTGTGAACAAGAAGAAAACAGGGGAAGTACACAGACATTGGTTTCCTTAATAAATAATAATAACTAGCAAAAATTCGCTCGCTATCACTTCACTATTAGAAAAATAAATAATTTAAAGAGTAATAGTTTTAATGTTGACCCAAAAGTGAAAGTAATTTTATTTCATTTTTGCCATAGGTTTTTTATTTACAATAGCATATGGTTGATGAACTTGCATAAGGTAGAAGGGTCGCCGAATTAATTATTTATGTTTAAACTTCTTTCATGACGCTTCAATTTGTATGGCTAATAATTGATCATGCTATAACTTTTGCATAATGAAGCAGCTTTAGCGGAAAAACTATCAGAATTACTTTTTAATATAAGAGGTAATGAAATATGACTAAAAAAATTTCGAACATAAAATATGAATAAAAATTCTAAAATAGAAGAGTATTTAAAATGGATCACATTAGACTTATTCAAATTAAATAATATTGTTTTCAATTTATTTTTTTATAATGATATAAATAAAAGAAAATTATGTTTTCTAGAAAAAAATTATCTATGGTAAGGATAATTTTGTATTTTCAAATCGGAGCTTCTTCTTTTAAGTTATGAATAACTTCAGTTTTTAAAAAGCGAAACTTTAGAGCTAATGCGAGAGATTGCCTTTTGATTTACCACAAGCAGAAGAAGAATTAGTAGCAGGTTATCAAACGGAATACTCGGGTTTCAAATTTGGTTTATTTTATGTTGCTTCCTATCTAAACTTATTAGTTTCTTCATTATTTGTAACCGTTCTTTTTGGGCGGTTGTGTGCGAGGAGGGATTCGAACCCCGACACCGTGGTTCGTAGCCACGTGCTCTAATCCTCTGAGCTACAGGCACCACCCCGTCTCCACTGGATCTGTTCCCGGAGTACCCTAAAAAAGGAACCTTTCCTCTCCCAGCCATTTCGGGTTTGGCTTGGTTTCAACTTTTGATACATAAAACTTCTAAAATTCGGGCCAAACATAGTCTTACTCTTTTGGTTTTTTTTTTGGTTTGAGGTAATCGTGGTTCTCCTTTATGAAATTTGTTGGACTGATTGCAGGTTTGAGGAGCTTCAACTCGCATTGATCGGGTCAAATTAGTTTGGATACCCATAGATTTGGGTTCAATTGTCTTTCTCAAACAAAAGGAAAAAGCGAAATGAAAAACACTAAAGCTAAAACTCGCTACCGACTCAAAACTCGTCAACACCAAGTTCAACTCGCTTTGACCTGGTTGGACCGAATTTTGGACAAATTTACACTTGATACAACACGTCAAGTACAAAAATAGATAAAACTCGCTATCGCCAAAAACCTGTAAAATCGGGTTCAAGTCGCTTTGGTCTGGTTGAATTAGGTTGTATACCCATGCGTTTGGACTCAATTGTCATTCTCAACCAAAAGGAAAAAGAAAAAAAAAAGAAAAAAATACTAAAGCGGATAAAACTTGCTCATGACCACAATACGTTCAACTCACTTTGACCGGTTCGACCCAGTTTTAACAAATTCACAATTTACCCAATCTGTCAATTACAAAAGCAGATAAAACTCGCTCTCGATACGAAACACGTCAACAATGTGTCAGAGTTCAATTGTCTTTCTCAATGAAAAGGAAAATGAGAAATAAAAAAAAATTAAAGCCTACAAAACTCGCTTTCAATCGAAAACTGGCTTACAATGTGTTCAACTCGTTTTGAACAAATTTTTAACAAATTAACAATTGGTCCAACCTGCCAACTACAAAAGCAGATAAAACTCGCTCACAATATAACACTCGTCAAAACATTAGATTCGGGTTCAATTGTTTTCCCAACCAAAAGAAGAAAAAAGAGAAATTTATAAATGCTAAAGTCTGTTCCAAGTCGCTTTGAACTGATCGAATTAGGTTGGATACCCATGAATTTTGTTTCAATTGTGATCATGCTCAACAATAAGGAAAAAGTGAAAGAAAAAACACTAAAGCGAACGAAACTCTGTCCTGATACAAAACCCGCCAACATTGAGTAGATATGGTATGGATTTTCGGTAGCGGCATTGGGTTCAATTGTGATCATACTCAACAAAAATGAAAAATAGAGAAAAAAAATACTAAGGACGACGAAACTAGGTCCCGATGCAAAACTCGTGGTAGCGGCCTTGGGAAACGATGGTGAGGAACAATTTAAGATTCCGCCGACAATTTAGAATTCTAGCATAAATAAAAAAGGAAATTATATTTTTAATTGTAATTATCATTCTAATTTCAACAATTTATTCAATGGAACTAGTGAGTCTAAGTTAACAAGCTTGAATTGTGGTGAATTAGATTGACTCTAATTTACGTCGAGAGAGAAGTGTCTGGGGGAAAATGAGTGAGAAAACATTGACTTAATCACTTTAAAAAACTGATAAAATGTAGATATTTTCATTGTATTTGATTGAGGATGGGCAGTTATAGTCGGACCTAACTCAATCGACTAGTTTGATCCTTGGTTAAAAAAAATGTCATCGGTTAGAACAGAAGCATGCAATCGATAATGCAGATCAAATCAAACGAATACAAATTTAACGTGGTTCATTAACACAATGTGTGTTAGCTAATTCACAGGCAGGGGAGAACAAATTTCACTAATTTGAGTAGAGTATATGTTACAACCCAAATTCCTAACGGACAAACCAAACAAACTAACCTGACTGACCTTACTGCAAGAGAGTGTGATGAAGACTATTTATAGAACTCTTCTCTTAATGTCAAACATAAAACCAAGCACCTTTTCCCAAACATACATGGAAAAAGGCAAGAACAAAGCTCAAACACAAACCCAAACAAAATAGGCCCAAACACAAAACAAACCAAAATCAAATTCAAGTTATATTCTAACACCACCAAACTCGTGCTAGGGTGACCGTACACACAGATTATAAATCTTTTTTTGGTTGCAAGTCAGGGTTTGAGGACAACTACAACGTAGTGGGTTGGTTCTATTGAGTTGGATCTTTTATCGATTTGCGGTGGCAGCAAGGAGCCATAGACGGGAGCGGCGGCGGCAAGTGGAGGGGAAGAAGGAGAAGTCGGATGGAAAGAGGGGATAAGAAGGGGTGTGGTTTTAGTTTTGTTTTTCTTTTTAGCTCTTAAAAAACAAAAGAAAATTAAATAATAAGTTTTAGTCAATTGGGTTGGGTGAAGTTGATTAGGCGGTCAATTTACATGACTCAGCCTTTCTGACAACTCACTCAATAGTTTTGTTTGTCACATCATTAAAAAATTGACGGAGTTAAGAGTGTCTAACGGAGACTAACAACCAGTGACTAACGGTGAAACGATTCGTACAGTTAATGACGAATAAGGAAGAAAAGTAATTCAGGTGGCAAACATGAAGCATTTATGTAATTTTAGTGACAAAATGTGCAATTTATCCATTTCAATTCAATTATGTTGATGTGACTTGAATCGGAATATCAGCCGCTACGACTGGTAATCAGGGGTCTCGCTGACCGGGTTCTGGGTTATTTGGGTTCGGCATCTGGGCCTGGTCTGTAACCGTTTCCTTTGCCAGATTGGATTAGGTTTTAGACCCACATGGAGAAGTACTATAAATAATTCTCATACTCCTCTGTAATCTGTAATCTCCTTGATATAGTGAAACTGGCTCTCCCTCGCCCGTGGACGTAGCTAACACACATCGTGTTAGTGAACCACGTAAATCGTGTGTCTGTGTTTTTCGATTCTCGCTTTCGTATTCTTGCTTTATCGATTCCGGCGATTTCCCGATCCATAGCAGCGCGTTTATAACAAGTGGAATTAGAGCCGCGGCTGGAAATCAGGCTAGGGTTTTTGATTCAGAAGAATGATGTTGGTGAACATGAAGATCGAAAAGTTCACGGGGAAGAACAGCTTCGCTATATGGCAGATCAAGATGCAGGCTTTATTAAAACAGCAAGGGCTGTGGGGGCCGCTGTCTGCGAAATAGACAGCGGTCGATGACGATGAGTGGAATACCCTGGAGGAGAAGGCCCACTCGACCATCATGCTATCGTTGTCTGATCACGTCATCATTGAAGACGCTGCTGAGAAGATTGCCGCGGGCTTGTGGTTAAAGTTGGAGAGTCTGTATATGGCGAAGTCCTTAACCAACAAGCTGCATCTCAAGCAACGGTTGTTCAGCTTGAGGATGCAAGAAGGTACGCCTTTGAGGGAACATCTCGAACAACTTAACTCTATTTTGCTAGATCTGCGTAATATAGATGTTCAAGTTGATGACGAGGAT